ACACTTAAAACCTCCATCAACACATCAACAGCGACAGCCACAGCCTGGGGTGGAGTGACACTCATCCACAGCTTCGGGTATTGTGTCATCCACAGGCTGGGGTGGTGTGACAGTGTCATCCACAGCCTGGGGTGGTGTGAGTGTCATCCGCAGGCTGGGGTGGTGTGACAGTGTCATCCACAGCCTGGGGTGGTGTGACAGTGTCATCCACAGCCTGGGGTGGTGTGACACAGTAATCTCTCTGATAGCACCGGGTGTATAGTTAATATTGTTTGGTGTCTTGTCAATAACAGTTCAATAAACAGTCACTGGCTGTCAATAACTTGTCGAGTCATTCTTTGCTCAAAAAAACTCTGTCCAGAGCCAATAACTGTTCTGTACTTCATTAAAAAGCGCATAACAGGAGGTTTACAAATCTACGCTACATCCGTAGATTGTGAAAACAATAACAAGTAATCCTGACAGCTACAACAATAGATTAAAAATAAAATGACATTCATCTTCCACTCGTCCAATAGTATTATGTATGAGCTAATATGTCTTGTTGTTTTGGAATGACTGACAAAATTTTGTGTATGTCAGACCCGTGGACTGCTCAGACTACCTGATGATGGGCTACACTACCAGTGGCGTCTACAACATTTACCCATCCAGGTAGGTTCTCTCTGTCTCATGTTGTTTTACTGTGCTTATGTTTATGAAAAAAGTAAGTATCAGGATATCTCGATTGTGTCCACCAGCTCCCGGGACAACGTTAAGAATGTGCGCATACTATAAACCAAGTGTAAAGTAAGGCACCCAACCTTATATAGTGCCTAAAACTGTCGTCTCCCAGGACGTTCCCTTTAATTACTGTAACTTATCAAATGCCGATGTTTTTATCTTTACTCTGTGTTTTTCACCATCTAAACGGACTTCCATGAAAGAGAGCCTCGTGTCAGGTCCACGGAGGAGCCACAGTTTATATTACTCAAGGCCAGATTCTATACATAAAACAAACAAAAATCAGATTGAAATTAAGGAAGAATGTAAGTTATGCAATAGTAGAGCACCTGTGAGCTGGAGAGCATTCTTACACCCGGACTCTGTGACACGCATCACGACGGTGGGCAGCCAACAAACATCATGAGTAGTGAACTCGTGAGTCATGTAGACATAACATTGTGAACAATAGTGTGTCAAGATATTCTGTTTGTCTATACTTTATGCATCAACGTCACCAAAATGTCATTGTGACAATAAATTATCAGCTCTGAGTTAGCTCTTGTTTCCTTGCTGATAACATGTTGTGGGGCCCTGGATCCTCCCATATGTAAGTAGGATGTCTCTAAGCCATTCCTTACCTGTACTGGTACAGAGTTATGGTGTCTCTATGCACTGACTCGTATATCTAAATACAGGTATTGGTAGTCCCCGTATCAATTATCATCAACGCAGTACTGGAGTTGAATAAATTTCTAAACTACATATTTATAGAACATTGTTTAAAATCTTAGTTCCATTGTATTTCTTGGTGACAATCTAGCAGGAGCTGTCGTCTCTGACACCTACATATACAAGAAAATAAAAATTCTAACTTTCCATATATTAACAGCTGTCGGTGCTCGAAGCCAGTGGAGGTGTGGTGTGACATGGAGTCGGAAGGGGGCGGATGGACGGTGTTTCTGGCCCGTAATTACCAAACACACAGGGAGAACTTCAACCGTACCTGGAATGACTACCGTGAGGGCTTCGGGAACGCCTCGGGGGAGTACTGGCTGGGTATGTACCCTTGTACCGTATACGAGTATATCGGGCGCCGCGTCGTATCCTCCTCCAGGGTCAGGTTGTGTGTTTGTTAGTTTATGGAGGACATTGAATATATGATATTTATGAATGGAAGATGAGATATCGTGCAGAAAAAGTGGACGTAAAAGGAAGATTGTGGGAATATTGCGAGCAACTACTGCATGTATTATGTGAGAAAGAGGTGGAGTTATCCTGTTGAGGAAATGGGTAATTGGATAATGTCAAAAAAAAAATGAGGAATAAGTAACTTTAGGATACTGAGGCGTATGAAGAAGACGGATTTACCGATAAAATGTTAAGAGTGAAAAGTGAAACCGTGATAGAATGGTCGACAAATTGCACAGGAAGGAAAACTGACTGTATTAAGGAAGAGAGATGCAGGTGCAGATAAAGACGATGATGATGTGTGGATCAACTTTAGAGAACATGATTGAGAAGGTTCTATAAAGGGTGAAGAATTTATTGTGACTTTTGTGGAATCGAAAAATACTCACGATAGACTAGATAGAAAATGCTGAAGGAAGTACTGAATATGAGTGTGTGTATGTACTATATACAGTACATCCTTGGGTGACGGCACTCAGTCGGGTTTAGAGGATACCAATCAAGTGCTGGTTGTGGGAGGAGGCCTCACACACACACACACATACATGTATTATTTTGTGACATTAAAGTTATCTTAGGAGTTACTGACCTCCTTCGTGATCTTTATTGGCAGTCCGGTACCTTTTAAAACTGTTTCCGTACTGTACGACCTCCCCGAGCCTTGCCTTGCTGCCTTGACAGATTTTGTCTAACTTTTGACATTTTTCTTGTTTAATATTTATTCTGACAGTGATAGAGCCGAAAATAGATCCATCAATCATCTCCCCATTACCTTCAGCCTCCCTTCACCACCAAGTTACCAGATAAAATTGCGAGTAAGAGACCCAGAGTTGGGTCAGTGCATCTTTGGTTGACTGTACTTGTGTCATTCACTCTCTGTTTACGTCCTTGGACCTCTAGGTCCAAATTTAGATTTTAAAATTTACGTAACTGCTGGTGTTAGGCCCCGGGGTTACTTGTAGTTCCTAACACACGTACTGGTGTTAAATTGCTTCCTGGCGTTACTTGTAGCACCTAACGCACGTACTGGTGTTACTTAAACAAGTCGTAGGTATAGTTTGTGGCTTTTGGGGACTACCAGCTTAAGAGAGTACCAAGTGATGCCACCTTCACCCTTCCAGGGAACGAGGTGCTGTACCTCATGACCAACACCCGATTCTACAGCCTGCGTATGGACTTCCAGTTGACGTCGGGTGAACTCAAGTGGGGCGAGTGGGATACGTTCAAAGTGAATAACGAGGCCAGCAGGTGAGTTGTCTTTGTCTCTGTCTAATATCTACTTATTACTTTGTCTCTTATATTCGACTAACCCACGAATCAGTGTTCATCAGTCGGTTTATCCAAATACAGTGTAATGATAAGAATATCTGTGGAAAAAAGAACGAAATCGAACAACTTCTGGTGGTAGCAGTGTTCTTTCAAATTACGACTATAACCAGTACCCTTCATATACAACACTGTACAGTATATATCTCATTGGTAAAAACTAACGTAATCAGAAACACATCTCTAGATACGCAACGGTAACAAATTCATTTCTTTAACACGATTAGAACAGATGTTGTGAATAAAAGTTTATACACTTTTATGCAAGCAGCCCCGTGCCTCAAAAATACCTTAGATTTCGTCTGTATTCAAGACATCTTCAGTTCACCCATCAATGGATGACATGACATTGCATCAGGTCAGTAATATGAGACCACGAATCCCCAACTTTACCTCCACCTGACATTGCATCCGGTCAGGACAGTTACACGAGACCCAATAATCTCCTTCAGCTCCATGGGAGTGGAAAATACCAGTCTTCACTGTAACACAGCTTCATTCACGCCCGTATCATATAGATTTTTTGTATTTTAAATATATTTATTTAACAAAACTTTTAGATAAACTATTCAGGATTATTCTAGTAAATAAATGGGGTTTCTAACTTAGCTAGAACTGTGTTTATTGATTCCGGTCGCATAAACCCTCGAAAAAAATTTCCCCAGCAACATTTTTGGGATGTGGACTAGTGTCTGTCTGTACAAATGTACAAAATATATAGTTTAGAGTCTCAGAATTTTTTCCATTAACCGGAAAAAATTCCAGGGATAAGTCGTCTGGATACCCGGAAATCTCTCATACTCAAAAGAGCTCTGCACCAATTGTTCAGGCTAATGGGGATATCACTTCTCTTTCTCTATCCATCTCCTTTTGTCTCTTTCTCGCTCTCCTGTTTATCCTCCCGTTAAGTCTTTCTCTTTATTTGCCTATGAACCAACAAACTACTTCAGGGGTGATCTGTTTATCTTATAATATATCTGTTTAAATATTATCAATGATAATTTTTTATCCTGGAACAGCTTCTCTTTATCTCGGGTTAATGGTATTGAGATGAATTTTCACTAAACCTAAAGAAGATACATCCGCTTAGCATCAGTTGGAGAAAAATGTCTTTTGAAAAAGATCTTGCACCTTGTTATAAAGTGGACGCCTGAGTAGTGGTGGTGGTGGTAGTTAGCTCGCCGCTATGATACTGTGATCCCCCACCAACTGACAGACAACTACTAAGGAACCTACCAGGAGCCTCTCCATGTTAGGAAAATGTGTAGCATGTTACACTGTTACAGAATGCATTCTTACATCTTCAGTTACGAGGAATAATCCTTGTCGGAACCTTTGTGAATCTGGGCGGAGGAAAGCAGTATTTCCTGTTTATTGATTCGAGAAAACACTAAGTACTTTAGTGTTAAATTCAATGGGCTATATTATCTAAATTTGCCCACATGATGTAAAGTGCGCTTTCAATACACTGTTCAGTTTACGGGTCACAACTGCAGTATTAACTCCCTTGTTATAGAGTAAGTCTTCTTAAACAAACTATTGATAAGAATTTTTTTTTTTAGTGGTCTGTGGAAGTAATTCTTTGTTTAATATGAAGACAATTTACTGGGTATTTCATATAGAAATTCTAGGATATTAATTAACCTTTCGAAGATCATACATTCGTTACAGCGAATTCGAAATGTCCAATTTTCTAGACCCGATATAAGTGATGCTTTAGTAATGATTATTTTCTTGGCGTAAGACAATCTGATATAACGCTACAATAATTAACATGTTATGGGCGTGAAGTGAACACAGACAACTGAATTTCACTTTTTCTACATGAAAACATAAAAAAATATTAAAGTATTATGATTAAGTATTAATTTTCTTGGTGTTAAATTAACATGACCTTAGAAATAAGCATGTTTTACAGGAAAAGAATAATTAATGGTAATGTTAAAAAAATTTATATCCTGTAAGTTACAACAAATGTTCACATGGTTCATGCAGCTTAAGTTTTCACGGTGATAATTATTTTCCTTGGCAATGAACATATCACGGTGACCCTAACCTGGGCCAACCTTGTCTCAACAGGTACGATCTGGATCTTTACTCGTATAATGGGATGAGCACGATCAACAGCTGCTTCTCCCAGGGTAGTTTCTCCACCTATAACTACGATAACGACGCTAACACAGGTCAGTCCATCTATTTATGTGTGAGTGTGAAAGTGAAAAGGAGAAGTGCATATATATAATCGTCTTATTAACCCTTAAAACGCAACTGATTTTTTTGCTAAAGAGATAACTTTTGTTAATAATGCCACATTTAATGAAAATTATATTATAATGTATCTGGTTAATTTTTTGCTACTTGGGTTAGGTATGTTATTGTTTATTTATAGTTTGTACAATAATATAATTCCCAGATATTGAGTCCTGCTTGAACTTCCGAAAAACGAAATCTATAAAGATATTTTTGCAGGCCATTCTGTATACTAGACTGTACTCGGGTGACCAGCATCAGAGTCCTTGTGATGAGAGGATTTTTTTCCCCTTTTTGTAATTTATGTTGAATGTTCGTCCGTGTCTGAAAGATAATCAGTAAAACTAATCATATCTTGGTATTCCTTGATGTTCCAAGTCATCCACTCCAACTGATATTCTTTTCTCTCATGCCACCACAGAAAAGAACTGTGCTCGGGAGAGTATGGGTGGATGGTGGTACGGCAACTGCGGCGACCTGCACCCCACCACCCCTTACACACCTTCGGGACAGCTCAACATCACCTGTTCCCACGTGATAAACAACAAAAGGGTTGCTATGCTCGGTCCCTGGCTGCAGATGAAGATGCGGCCAACCATCTGCAACGACAACGTCAAGGCTGTCTACTTCAACGGCTACACCTGTCAGTCACATAATGATTGAAACCACGTGTTTTAACAAGTACCGGCCACATGTTTGACTCGCGTTACGTGAGTTTTAACCTGATGTCCAACCCAGCTTCTGAGATACCCTTGGTTGTGAATTAATGTTTCCCAAAATAATTTATGATTCCAAGAGCAATATTAAATAATTTAATACAAATTGTAAACAAAAAATGTACGAAAAAATAAAAATTATTCTAACAATTAGTGACTTGTGTGGCGTTAATTCCTGCTCCGTTGACTTAGATAAACCACATGTTTATTACTGAGTAGCGATGTAAATATATATATATCACAATATACACAAATACTCACCACAAAATAAGACAACAATATTCTTCTAACGTTCACTACTGCAGTACACACACACCGTAGCGGCTCAGTCTATTCGCTATTATGAAATTTCCAACATAATATCAACAGGCACTTGTGTGTTAGGCCTCCCTACAGAACACACTATTAGATCCATCACTGTTTATAGCCCAAGGTACTGTACCAATGATATATTTTTTAAAGTTTCCATCACAACTCTTAAAAACTTTATTGATTTGTCCTTTGTGTTACGTCAAGGTGACTGATCATTTAAACCAACAAAATATTGAACTTCTCCATACTGATCAACTAAACTCACGCCACGCAGGCTAAGAGCCACCTACCAGAACGTCACTTTGGTAAGTGTTCCACGCATGGTAGACCCCTCTATGACAAACCCTAATCATGGCATTACCAGTATATTGCGCTTACATCTGGCGTAATGAGGCATCTCAGTTTTATTCACCCACAAGACAGCGTGTTCTCTAAACACGCATATAATGTTATCAGCATATACATATACATATACATATATATATATATATATATATATATATATATATATATATATATATATATATATATATATATATATATATATATATATATATATATATATATATGCTGATAACCACAAGGGAAAAGAAAACACGAAGTTCCCAAGCGCTTTCGTGTAATTCACATCTTCAGGGGTACAGAATATCCTCGCTAATAGCTTCAGGTCTGCAAGCTAACCCAAGAAAAGCATCAGAAATATCATGCAGGGAAGGCCATGCCTCCCAGGTAGACGTTTTTCCACGTCCTAATAAAAAGGACACTGTATCACATACTGCTATGGAGTGCCTTTGTTCTCAGTGGCCTAAGTCTTTTGGCAATGATATGGATAACAATGTTCCGGAAGTACTTTCCTGTGCCAAAGCCAACTCAATGCCCATCAATCCAGTCTGTGAAAGAATGCTACTGTCAAAACTACACTATCGGTATCAACCGTCCTGATAGACGCTTTTCTCATGCCAGAATTTGCAGTATTGCAGATGAAGAATAATCCTGGTGTCAGCCTCTTCATGATTTGTAGGTTGAAGATCAGTATGTTCAAGTTCACCATTTGGCAGCACATATTTGTCTTTAGTTGTCACCAAAATCTTGTTGTCAGTAGACATGTGCTTGACTTCATCAGACAGAAACTGGAACAGCTCCTCTTTGTTGCTGTTGACTCTTAGGAAACTTGTCCAGTTAACAGGCACAGGTGTTCCATCCATACCTTTTGTTTGCTGTGGTGGTGGAGACGGTGCGGGTCAGTGTGTGGTGGTGGTGGAGACGGTGCGGGTCAGTGTGTGGTAGTGGTGGTGGAGACGGTGCGGGTCAGTGTGTGGTGGTGTGGTGGAGACGGTGAGGTCAGTGTGTGGTAGTGGTGGTGGAGACGGTGCAGGTCAGTGTGTGTGGTGGTGTGGTAGACGGTGCGGGCAGTGTGTGTGGTGGTGGTGGGAACAGTGCAGGTCAGTGTGTGGTGGTGGTGGAGACATGCGGTCAGTGTGTGGTGGTGGTGGTGTGCAGTCAGGTGGTGGGACGGGCAGGTCGTGTGTGGTGTGGTGGGTGGTGGTGGTGGAACGGTGCAGTCAGGTGTGGTGGTGGTGGAGACGGTGCGGGTCAGGTGTGTGTGGTGGTGGTGGTGGAGACGGTGCGGGTCAGTGTGTGGTGGTGGTGGAGACGGTGCGGGTCAGTGTGTGGTGGTGGCGGTGGAGACGGTGCGGGTCAGGTGTGTGGTGGTGGTGGAGACGGTGCGAGTCAGTGTGTGGTGGTGGTGGAGACGGTGCGGTTCAGTGTGTGGTGGTGGTGGAGACGGTGCGGGTCAGTGTGGTGGTGGTGGTGGAGACGGTGCGGGTCAGTGTGTGGTGGTGGTGGTGGAGACGGTGCGGGCGTGTGGTGGTGGTGGTGGAGACGGTGCGGGTCAGTGTGTGGTGGTGGTGGAGACGGTGCGGGTCAGTGTGTGGTGGTGGTGGAGACGGTGTGGGTCAGTGTGTGTGGTGGTGGTGGAGACGGTGCGGGTCAGTGTGTGGTGGTGGTGGAGACGGTGCACGCATGTGGTGGTGGTGGAACGGTGCGGGCGGGGTGGTGGTGGTGGAGGAGGGTGCGGGTCAGTGTGTGGTGGTGGTGGAGACGGTGCGGGTCAGTGTGGTGGTGGTGGTGGAGACGGTGGGTCAGTGTGTGGTGGTGGTGGTGGAGACGGTGCGGGTCAGTGTGTGGTGGTGGTGAGACGGTGCGAGCAGTGTGTGGTGGTGGTGGAGACGGTGCGGCCAGTGTGTGGTGGTGGTGGTGGAGACGGTGCGGGTCAGTGTGGTGGTGGTGGAGACGGTGCGGTCAGTGTGGTGGTGGTGAGACGGCGTGGTCAGTGTGGTGGTGGTGGAGACGGTGCGGGTCAGTGTGTGGTGGTGGTGGAGACGGTGCGGTCAGTGTGTGGTGGTGGTGAGACGGTGCGGATCAGTGTGTGGTGGTGGTGGAGACGGCGGGTCAGTGTGTGGTGGTGGTGAGACGGTGCGGTCAGTGTGTGGTGGTGGTGGTGGAGACGGTGTGGTCAGTGTGGTGGTGGTGGAGACGGTGCGGGTCAGTGTGTGGTGGTGGTGGAGACGGTGCGGGTCAGTGTGTGGTGGTGGTGGAGACGGTGCGGGTCAGTGTGTGGTGGTGGAGACGCGTCAGTGTGTGGTGGTGGTGAGACGGTGGTCAGTGTGTGGTGGTGGTAGAGACGGTGCGGTCAGTGTGTGGTGGTGGTGGAGACGTGTGCGGGTCAGTGTGTGGTGGTGGTGGTGGAGACGTGTGGGTCAGTGTGTGGTGGTGGTGGAGACGGTGCGGGTCAGTGTGTGGTGGTGGTGGTGAGACGGTGCGGGTCAGTGTGTGGTGGTGGTGGTGGAGACGGTGGGTCAGTGTGTGGTGGTGGTGAGACGGTGCGGGTCAATGTGTGGTGGTGGTGGTGGAGACGGTGCGGGTCAGTGTGTGTGGTGGTGGTGAGACGGTGCGGTCAGTGTGGTGGTGGTGGTGAGAAGGTGGGTCAGTGTGTGGTGGTGGTGGAGACGGTGTGGGTCAAGTGTGGTGGTGGTGGTGGAGACGGTGCGGGTCAGTGTGTGGTGGTGGTGAGACGGTGCGGGTCAGTGTGTGGTGGTGGAGGACGCGGGTCAGTGTGTAGTGGTGGTGGAGACGGTGCGGGTCAGTGTGTGTGGTGGTGGAGACGGTGCGGTCAGTGTGTGGTGGTGGTGGAGACGGTGCGGTCAGTGTGTGGTGGTGGTAGAGACGGTGCGGTCAGTGTGTGGTGGTGGTGAGACGGTGCGGTCAGTGTGTGGTGGTGGTGGTGGAGACGGTGCGGGTCAGTGTGTGGTGGTGGTGGAGACGGTGCGGGTCAGTGTGTGGTGGTGGTGGTGGAGACGGTGCGGGTCAGTGTGTGGTGGTGGTGGAGACGGTGTCATCAGTGTGTGGTGGTGGTGAGACGGTGCGAGTCAATGTGTGGTGGTGGTGGTGGAGACGGTGCGGGTCAGTGTGTGGTGGTGGTGGAGACGGTGCGGGTCAGTGTGTGGTGGTGGTGGTGAGAAGGTGCGGGCTGTGTGGTGGTGGTGGTGGAGACGGTGTAGTAGTGTGTGGTGGTGGTGGTGGAGACAGTGTGGGTCAGTGTGTGGTGGTGGTGGAGACGGTGTGGTCAGTGTGGTGGTGGTGGAGACGGTGTGGGTCAGTGTGTGTGGTGGTGGTGGTGGAGACGGTGCGGGTCAGTGTGTGGTGGTGGTGGAGACGGTGCGGTCGAGTGTGGTGGTGGTGGTGGAGACGGTGTGGGTCAGTGTGTGGTGGTGGTGGAGACGGTGCGTCAGTGTGTGGTGGTGGTGAGACGGCGCGGGTCAGTGTGTGGTGGTGGAGACGGTGTGGGTCAGTGTGTGGTGGTGGTGGAGACGGTGTGTCAGTGTGTGGTGGTGGTGGTGGAGACGGTGCGGGTCAGTGTGTGGTGGTGGTGGAGACGGTGCGGTCAGTGTGTGGTGGTGGTGGGGACGGTGTGGGTCAGTGTGTGGTGGTGGTGGTGGAGACGGTGTGGTCAGTGTGTGTGGTGGTGGTGGAGACGGTGCCAGTGTGTGGTGGTGGTGGTGGAGACGGTGTGGGTCAGTGTGTGGTGGTGGTGAGACGGTGCGCGTCAGTGTGTGGTGGTGGTGGAGACGGTGCCGTCAGTGTGTGGTTGGAGACGGCGCGGGTCAGTGTGTGTGGTGGTGGTGGAGACGGTGCGGGTCAGTGTGTGGTGGTGGTGGTGGAGACGGTGTGGGTCAGTGTGTGGTGGTGGTGTGAGACGGTGCGCGTCAGTGTGTGGTGGTGGTGGAGACGGCGCGGGTCAGTGTGTGGTGGTGGAGACGGTGCTGGTCAGTGTGTGGTGGTGGTGGAGACGGTGTGGGTCAGTGTGTGGTGGTGGTGGAGACGGTGCGCGTCAGTGTGTGGTGGTGGTGGAGACGGCGGGTCAGTGTGTGTTGAGCGCGCGTGGAGGAGGGAGGTGTTGGAGCTGAGTGTGTCAGGCTCTTTGGGTCCTGCCACACTCCCTCACCAGCCAGTTCGGTACCGGTCACCACACTGAGGGAGCTGTACCATCTGGGTCAACAAAATACTTCATCTTGCCCTTGATACAGGCTGTTTTTCTCATGATACTTTACCAACATCAAAATTGAGGTAAGTTATCATTTGGATACAATGAATATTTAAAAGCTGTTTGAGATGACGTCAACATGTGCAAATCGGAGACAGTGGAAGCAGTAATTTAATAAGTATTATAGTATGGAAACTATTATTATTTTTTCAATGCATGGTGATAGATTCCATATTCGGTAACGAAATTTTTAGACGAATGTTTGCCTGATTTATCTAACAAGAAAACAATTTCCCTCAACCCTGGCACTACATTATCTTAATACAATGGGACCACTTGACGCCCCTCGAGGAAAGTTTACTACATTTTCACATAAGTTTTGACTTAATAATAAAAAATTGATCTTTGATAAATCACCGATTCTTTTGGTGTTCAAAATTGTCTCCGTTTTAACAATCCGCCTTTCCGCGTTTTTCATCGCTTAGGCAAAATCCAGTGAACAGTAACCAATGATACGATTCTGTCATTAACGACATGTAATACACACTTATCACAATACATATTCAATGATAACACGAAGTATCCACTGACTACCTAAGGTACTCGTTAAGCATGTCAGTTAAATTCCCAATGACCACGTAAGATACCCATTGACCATTCAAGACACCCTGCATGGCAGACTTGCGTTACCAACATGGCAGACTTGCGTTACCAACACAGCAGACTTGCGTTACCAACATGGCAGACTTGCGTTACCAACACAGCAGACTTGTGTTACCAGCATGGCACACTTGTGATACCAGCATGGCACGCTTGTGATACCAGCATAGCACACTTGTGTTACCAGAATGGCACACTTGATACCAGCATGGCACACTTGTGTTACCAGCATGGCACACTTATTACCAGCATGGCACACTTGTGTTACCAACATGGCACGCTTGTGATACCAGCATGGCCCACTTGTGTTACCAGCATGGCACACTTGTGTTACCAGCGTGGCACACTTGTATTACCAGCATGGCACACTTGATACCAGCATGGCACACTTGTGTTACCAGCATGGCACACTTGTGATACCAGCATGGCACGCTTGTGATACCAGCATAGCACACTTGTGTTACCAGAATGGCACACTTGATACCAGCATGGCACACTTGTGTTACCAGCATGGCACACTTATTACCAGCATGGCACACTTGTGTTACCAACATGGCACGCTTGTGATACCAGCATGGCCCACTTGTGTTACCAGCATGGCACTCTTGGTTACCAGCGTGGCACACTTGTATTACCAGCATGGCACACTTGATACCAGCATGGCACACTTGTGTTACCAGCATGGCACACTTGATACCAGCATGGCACACTTGTGTTACCAGCATGTCACGCCTGTGATACCAGCATGGCAAACTTGTGTTACCGGCATGGCACACTTGTATTAAAAGCATGGCACACTTGACAACAGCATGGCACACTTGTGTTACCAACATGGCAAACTTATTACCAGCATGGCACACTTGATACCAGCATGGCACTCTTGTGATACCAGCATGGCACACTTATTACCAGCATGGCAAAATTTGTGTTACCAGCATGGCACTCTTGTGATACCAGCATGGCACACGTGTGTTACCAGCATGGCACACTTGTGTTACCAGCATGGCACATTTGTGTTACCAGCATGGCACACTTGTTACCAGCATGGCACACTTGATACCAGCATGGCACACGTGTGTTACCAGCATGGAACACAAATTACCAGCATGGCACACTTGTGTTACCAGCATGGCACACTTGATACCAGCATGGCACACTTGTGTTACCAGCATGGCACACTTATTACCAGCATGGCGCTTGTGATACCAGCATGGCACACTTGTGTTACCGGCAGCACACTTTTTTACCAGCATAGCACACTTGATACCAGCATGGCACACTTGTGTTACCAGCATGGCACATAAGTTACCAGCATGCACGCTTGTGTTACCAGCATAGCACACTTGTGTTGCGGCATAGCACTTGTGTTACCAGCATTTCACTGTGTTACCAGCATGGCACCTTGTGTTACCAGCATGACGCTTGTGTTACCGGCGTGGCACATTTGTGTTACCAGCATATGGCACACTTGATACCAGCATGGCACTTTGTGATACCGGCATGGCACACGTGTTACAAGCATGGCACACTTGTGTTACCAGCATGGCACGCCTGTTACCGGCGTGGCACGCTTGTTTACCAGCATGGCACACTTTTGTTTACCAGCATGGCACACTTGTATTACCAACATGGCACACTTGATACCAGCATGGCACACTTGTGTTACCAGCATGGCACACTTATTACCAGCATGGCACACTTGTGTTACCAGCATGGCACTCTTGTGATACCAGCATAGCACACTTGTGTTACCAGCATGGCACACTTGTGTTACCAGCATGGCATGATACCAGCATGGCCACGTGTGTTACCAGCATGGCACAAATTACCAGCATGTACACTTGTGTTACCAGCGTAGCGCGCTTGATACCAGCATGGCACACTTGTGTTACCGGCATGGCACACCTTATTACCAGCATGGCACATGATACCAGCATGGCACACGTGTTACTAGCAGCACACTTATTACCAGCATGGCACGATACCAGCATGGCACTCTTGTGATACCAGCATGGCACACTTTTACCAGCATGGCACACTTGTGTTAGCATAACTCTTGTGATACCAGCATAGCACACTTGTGTTACCAGCATCGCACGTTACCAGCATGGCACACTTGATACCAGCATAGCCACGTGTGTTACCAGCGCAGCACACTTGTGTTACCAGCATGGCACGGCAGTATTCGGCGTGGCACGCGTGTTACCAGCATGGCACACTTGTGTTACCAGCATGGCACGTTTATGTTACCGGCGTGCTTGTGGTTACCAGCATGGCACACAAATTACCAGCATGGCACACTTGTGTTACCGGCATGGCACACTTGTATTACCAGCATGGCACACTTGTGTTACCAGCATGGCACGCTTGTGTTACCGGCGTGGCACACGTGTTACCAGCATGGCACACTTGATACCAGCATGGCACTTGTGTTACCGGCATGGCAACGTGTTATCAGCATGGCACACTTGTGTTACCAGCATGGCATCGTGTTACCGGCGTGGCCACTTGTTGCCAGGATGGCACACTTGTGTTACCAGCATGGCACACTTGATACCAGCATGGCACACTTGTGTTACCAGCATGGCACACTTGTATTACCAGCATGGCATACTTGATTACAGCATGGCACTTGTGTTACCAGCATGGCACACTTATTACCAGCATGACAGACTTGTGTTACCAGCATGGCACTCTTGTGATACCAGCATGGCACACTTGTGTTACCAGCATGGCACACTTGTGTTACCAGCATGGCACACTTGATACCAGCATGGCACGTGTGTTACCAGCATTGAACACAAATTACCAGCATGGCACACTTGTGTTACCAGCATGGCACGCTGTGATACCAGCATGGCACATTGTGTTCCGGCATGGCACACTTGTGTTCCCAGCATGGCACACTTGTGTTACCAGCATGGCACGCTAGTGTTACCGGCGTGGCACACTTGTGTACCATCATGGCACCTTGATACCAGCATGGCACACTTGTGTTACCAGCTGCACGCTTGTGTTACCGGCGTGGCACATTTGTTACCAGTATGGCACACTTGTGTTACCAGCATGGCACGCTTGTGTTACCAGCATGGCACACTTGTGTTACCAGCATGGCACACTTGTGTTACCAGCATGGCACACTTGTGTTATCAGCATGGCACATGATACCAGCATGGCACACTTGTGCTACCAGCATGGCACATTATTACCAGCATGGCACACTTGTGTTACCGGCATGGCACTCTTGTGATACCAGCATGGCACACTTGTGTTACTAGCATGGCACACTTGATACCAGCGCTTGTGTTACCAGCGGCACGTGATACCAGCATGGCACACTTGTGTTACCAGAATGGCACTTTTGTGTTACCAGCATGGCACACTTGTGTTACCAGCATGGCACGCCTTTGTTACCTGTGTGGCACACTTGTGTTACCAGCATGGCATACTTGTGTTACCAGAATGGCACTTGTGTTACCAGCATGGCACACTTGTGTTGCCAGCATGGCACCTTGTTACCAGCATGGCACACGTGTTACCAGCAGGTACCACTTGTGTTACCAGCATGGCACGTTTATGTTACCGGCGTGGCTTGCCGTATTTACCAGCATGGTACACTTGTGTTACCGGCGTGGCACACTGTGTTACCAGCATGGTACACTTGTGTTACCAGCATAACACTTGTGTTACCAGCGTGTCACACTTGTGTTACCAGAGTGGCACACTTGTGTTTCCGGCATGGCACACTTGTGTTACCAGCATGGCACACTTGTGATGCAGACACTTTTGTTACCAGCATGGCACACTTGTGTTACCGGCATGGCACACTTGTGTTACCGGCGTGGCACACTGTGTTACCGGCATGGCACACTTGTGTTACCAGCATGGCACGCTTGTGTTACTGGCATGGCACACTTGTGTTACCAGCATGGCACACTTGTGTTACCAGCATGGCACACTTGTGTTACCAGCATAACACTTGATACCAGCATGGCACTTGTGTTACCAGCATGGCACACTTGTGTTACCAGCATGGCACACTTGTGTTACCAGCATGGCACACTTGATACCAGCATGGCACACTTGTGTTACCGGCATAGCACACTTGTGATACCAGCACTTGTGTTACCAGCATGGCACATGATACCAGCATGGCACACTTGTGTTATCAGCATGGCACACTGTGATACCAGCATAGCTTTGTGTTACCAGCATGGCACACTTGTTTACCAGAATGGCACATAATACCAGCATGGCGCGCCCGGGTTACCAGCATGACAGCAGCGACCAGCATGGCACACTTGTGTTACCGGCGTGGCACACGTGTTACCAGCATGGCACATGTTTTACCGGCGTGGCACACCCTGTGTTACCAGCATGGCACACTTGTGTTACCAGTATGGCACACTTGATGCCAGCACAC